GGTGGTGTGATCAGGGAATAGCTGGAGAACAAGAGAGAGAGAGAGAGAGAGAGAATCCGTTTATAATCGTAGAACTCCATGCAGCGATAGTGATCCCAATAGACCCCAAACTTTCACCTTTTCATTCCTTTGTTTGATGTTTGCCTTTTGCTTTCGCTTTTTGTTTTCACCATTTCCTAGATGAATTTTTAGATGCAGTTCACGTGAAATATGGCCGGGTCCTGGTCCGTGGATGCCACAGTCACAGTGGCACACACAGCATGAGCTGCCGGTCCGTTGCAGCCGCAGCCACAAATCAGAATGCCGTTGAAGCGTTCAAGTGCAACGAGCATGAAGAGAACTCGCTGCCTTCGTCCCCAACTTGCCCCCCAACTTCATCTCCACATACACATAGCCATATCCCCATATCCATATGCATCTGCGTCTCCGTCTCTGATTGTCGTTGTCGGCAAATCTCGGCAACTTTCAGATGAGCCACCGCTGAATGAGCATCATCAACGTTTCGTCAGATTGTCGCTGTCTGCGCCCTGTACATACTCGTATGTACGGGACTCGACAGAAGTCAAGCCTTTGGATGAGTTTTGTATGATTTTGTTGTTGTATTTTTGTGTGTTTGCCCAACGAAACCCGTTTGGCCTGTTAACACTTCGATTACAGCTCAACTCTTTCCCTCGGTACGCTACTTGGTTGGTGGGGGACGGGGACGGACGCCTGCTACGGACACGGTCGCCGGTCGCCGGGCACTTTGGGTGGTCCACGTTGCCCGTCCGGTCGTACTATTAGTTAAATTTTGATTTATTTGTACTTCAATTAGTCGTTGAACAAATCTGTTTATTTATTTGCTTTTAATTATTGTTAGAAACCACAAAGCCGTGCCACTGCCGCTGCCACTGCCATTGCCACTGCCCCGGGTCGGCTCTTTGTGGTGTCTCTTCTTCGTCTCCTGCCTGACCGAAGAAGGTTTTTAATTAGCACCAACAATATAATTCACAAAAAGCCATCATCAAATAGCCGAGGATTTCTTCAAATGTTAATGGAATCTCAAATGATTCAAGTGCAAACAGAGTTTTGTCTTACAAAACAATCGTTCGATGGGCAAACAAAATGCATATTTCAGCAGTCATTTTCTCCTTAAAATTTGCGAATCTAAAATACCCATAGAAATTTAGACATCCACTGATGAAACACATACAGAAAACATAACAACTGAAAATTCCAATAAATATAATATTTTAATTTATTGACGTCTGCAATGCTAATAAAAATGGAAATACCTGAGTTTCATCCGCTATGCAAAACACTGGTCGAGTAATCATATTTTGATATAGTTCTGCATCCATGGCTGCATTTGGGAGGCCTTCTGGCAGCACAAACAAACAAAAACAGATTGCATGCCTTGCCGGAAAATGCCGGAATATATTTCATTGAAAATTTATAAACCATAACGGACTCGACCCCAGACTCAGTCTCTACCCGTTCCAGTTCCAGCTCCTGGGGAATCAGGCGTGAAAGAGATGCGCCGGCAAACCGAAACCCGAACAGAGCAGAAACACATGTCCAGGTCGAGCACGGAGGATGGGTGATGGGAAGTCTTTGGTCAGCCCCGCGTTCGTCAGCGGATTGGGAACAGCTTCATCTTCGGGGCTCGTTAGCAGTGACCGTGTGCAAGCGAACGTGTGGGATGTGGGATCAGGTGACAGGTTGGCTGCGGTATGTTGCCTCTCAAGTGAGCCGGGTATACGTTTACACCAATAATTCATCGTCAACTGCAGTTGCATCAATCCGTGTTGCGTCCTTCCCCCAAAGAGCTGCCATTGCACAGGACTCAAGTGCTTACATAATCACGTGTTGATGCTGTCCAAGATATACGAGTGTGAGTTTTGAGTGGAGTGCTCTCCTTTTGGAGTGCCGCTGCCGTAGACAATTTGACGCTTCCGTCCCTTCGAGCTGTCCCCTTTACGGTTCACACCCATCTGGCCTTAGCCTTATGCAAGTCGGACGGTGCCTTTCCCTGGATGTGTCAATTTTATAGCGCATTTGCCACTTTATGACATTTGATGCTGCTGTCCTGCTCCTTGAACTGCTCTCTCCCATCCCATCCTCGCACCCTTGGCTCTTTTGTTTTCTCAAGTGTCTGGTAGATTCTCCTTCAACTGTTGTTACACAACGCAGAAGTTCAACAAGATTTTTCTGGGGATATATGCATCGCTGGACCGCATATTTAGATACCCTTGCGATGGGTTTTATCTCTTGAAAATATGTTCCAAGCTTAATAGTCCATAGTTTAATTGAATTTAAGTTGTTTTGGCTACATCGAATCGGGTGTATTGAAATTAAATTATGATTTCCACAGCTGTATCGTCTGATCAGAGTTTCCAAACATCTGGTAAAAATCATAGTGCCCTCGGAAAGTATACAAAAGAAAAGAAGCTGACGCGGAGGAGTCAAAGAGAGAGAGAAAGATATAGACAAAGATACAGAGCGAGAAAGAGAAACAGTCAGACTAAAGCAGAAAGAAAAACGCATAATATTAATTTGTTATGCTTGTCATTTGTCACTGGGCGGCCGGCAACTTCAAAGCCTGTCACCCAATTTGTTAAACGCAGAGACAATTTTGTCATCGTCTTGGCCCCCAACTCTTCTCCACATCGCTCCAAGGGAGACCCCCATGACACTGTTTTGCCATGGAGCTTTAGCCCCAAGGGGTAGAGGAGATATGTTAGCTTTTCGCATGTGGCCAATTATTTTGTAAGTTGAGAAATGCTCAATATCAATTGCCCGTACTGGAATTTAAGTTGCCATATAGTAGGAATATCTGTACATCGGAAACTATTACAATTTTCTTGTTTCCATCGAAAAAATGATTTGGATTCTCTTTATTTAAGGACGCAAGAGACTTGTTTTTTATAATCAACAGCACATATTTACTTAAATATTCGGGTTTCAATTAAAACATGTAAGTAAAAGAAGAATACATTTGCAGAAAATCTAAATCTGAAATGTAAATATTTATTTGAAATTAAAAACATATTCATTTAAATATGCCAAATCCTTAAATATTAAATCACTTGATGGAAATATGTACACAAAGGTTAGACATGTAAATGTAAAATGTATGTAAATATTTACATAGTACAAATTATACATGAATGAAAATTTGCAATAGGTGAAGTAAGCTAATATTTGGAGATGCTTCCACCAAGATTTAGGATAGAATCAAGTACGAAAATCACTTTCACACATCCATGAAAATATACTAATATTTAGAATGGCGATCGTCAAAATTGAAAATCACTGAATATAGACGAGCAAAAAGCAAAGTGTGAGAGAGAGCGAGAGAGAGCGGCTGGCAGTGGGAGAGAGAATCGAATTGGATTTGCAACAAAAGGTAGGAGCAGGTAAGCGTAAGAAGGCGTGTCCAAAGAATCCGCGTGTGTCTGCGTACGTGAGACGCATCCACACAAAGGCAGCATGCAACACTCTCTCAGAGACGCTGCAAGTGTATTCGACAGTGCAAAGAGTTGTTGTTGTGACTGTGCGACCTGCCAGAGACAATTTTAATGAACGAATGACAGGAAAAATTGGCATATATCATTAAATGACGATATTCCGAATTAGTGACAATCAGATGAAGACAACATTTGCCATAATTAACTCTAACCAAGCGGGGCGCAACGCCTCAGCGAGAGCAGCCGGCGTCAGCAGTCTATTGGACTAGACCAGGCCATTCATCGCTCATCACGCATACGCCGCATTGGACACAGAACAGGCAGCAGAAGCAGCAGCCAGCAGGAGCAAGGAGAAAGGAGACGCTGCCACATCCGTATGGGGGTTGTTACCGTCGCTTTATTAGTGATATGACTGTGTTAATGAACCAAAAATAGATGCACAAGATCGAGAACGCCCGAATGAGATTCCCACAGCCCCGCCCCCATATCTCCATATGTGTGACACTAAAAAGTCATGACATCGCTCGGATACGGATACGCTTACTTGCTTCAGATTGGCCATTCAAGCATTCAGGAATTAACTCCGCCCGGTTGCGTGTGTCCGCAAGAGTGAGAGAGAGAGAGAGAGAGGGAAGCCAGCCAACCTAACTGACTGACTGACTGCGTACTCGTGCGCAGCCAAGATACTCAGACGATACGATACTGCCAGATACACAGCCAACACACTTACCCACACAAACACAGATGCGCAGTTTCAGGAGCGGCTGTGGTGCGTGTTTGGGCGCTGTGACGGGGGGAGCATGCTTACAAACAACAAGGAAACAGCCTAGTCAAGTGGACTCGCCCAAAAAATGAAATAGTTAACTTTGCTGTTGATATTTTGAGTTGTTTGTTGTGCCTGCTGTATTTTTTGATGAATGATGAATTATTATTATTTTAAATATACATTACATATACAACATTATACTTTACTTTACATTAAATATTAAAATGGAATTAAAACATAATAGAAATATTCATTTGAAATGAAATAAACTTGTGTACATTTAAAATATTTAATATTTAAATTAAAGTCATTCCGTATATTTCGTTTATCTTAGTACATAAAAAACTTTTAGCTACATATATTTATTGTCCGAATGATTGTACCTATGAAGATAATTGAATAATCCCATCACTAAATGCAAATATATTTAGCTACCCATAACCCTAGGGCCCAACCTCGTAGCGGTCCTGGGTGTGGAGCGACATTCTTCATTTTTCTTATTTTCCCACACACAGATGCACACACCCATTGACCCACACACACGCGATCATCGCCATTAAAGCCAACAAATACAAGCCGATCGACCGCCCTCCTCCGTGTGTGTGTGTGTGTGTGTGAGTGTAGGAGAGCATGAGAGACGGCAGTGGGACAGAGAGCGAGATAAAGAGAGGCAGAGAGAAAGACAGAGAGAGAGAGAGAATCTGCGGATGCTGCGTCGACGCTGTGGATGTGGCTGCTACTGCGACTGTGGATGTAGAAGTGGATTGATGGACACACGATCGCTGCTCGTTCGGGCAACAGTGGCAGCCACATTAGTCGCAGCAGACACGGGTGACGACCAACAACACAAGAGTGGCAGAGAGCGCGGCAGAGATTCGCACGGTAAAGAGAGAGACGAGTCGAGACGAGAAGCGCGCGCACGGATCAGTGGATGCGGATTAAACGAATCTGAGCAAATCGCGAGTGTCTATCTCCATGGAATGATCGATCGATCTGGTCGCGCGGGAGGTCCAACTGCCAACAAAGATCAAAGTGTATGTCCCCCAGCCCCAACCATTTACGATAAGGTGTGGATAAGTGCGTGATAATTATCAGAAACCCAGATCGTTTGGCCCGAAAATGTGCTAATCAGATCTCAGTTTTGGTTCAACAACTCAGACGCCCCGTCGCAAAGTGGCGATCGAAACGTAACCGGGCACCAGTGCTCCAGCACCAACTGGCGCCAATTTGTATACAAATTTCATGCCTTAATTGAAACTAACATTATAGCCAAGTGGCAAGTGCGAAAAGTTAACGACTAGTCAACAGCTCTGCTTGCTCCGCAGCCCCAGTTCCAGTCCCAAAACATCTATTCCTCCCTCCATTTCGCGCAGTGTGCAAATTGAATCTCCGTCGCAGGGGCAGAGAAAGTTGGCGGAGAAAGAGTAGCGGTGGAAGAGCAAAATCAACAGCCGGTAACCAACGAAGCAATTGTGGAGTTCTTCAGTCAACTAACGCCGCCCGACATGGACCCAGGTAGGTGTCAGCCCCTACATTCAATATATCCAATATCCAGTACTGGCCTCGATCGATCTACATGTGTAAGGTGCCGACGGCAATGAAGATCTCCCTGGTTAATCCTACACAGCCACTCAAATCGTCAACTCAAGTGTTTTGCCAACAAAGTGATCCGAGTCCCAGGTCCTGATGGAGCTCAACTCGGCTTCCTCCCCGCCATCGATTGAGGTATTCCACTCACTCCCTTTGCCCTTTTTGGGCCAGGCCAAGAGGGGACAAGTGTTTGCTTATGATTTTGTCGTTTCAAAAGGTTGCCGTCGCTGGCCGCGCATGATCGACAGCCTCGCGGTAGCCGCGACTCGTGTTTGCCATCGAAGATGGTCACCCAGCTCCATGCCCCTATCCATGCCCTTGCCCATACCCATGCACATGCCTTCTAATTTAACTAATGATCGTTGTAATGTTTGTGCCTTTTGTCGTGCGGTCTTCACTTTGTCTGCAAGTGTCCGTGTCTCTGTTTGTCCATGTGCTTTGGGCCAGAAAACAAAACCACCGAAAACTCCAACCCATTGGCCCGAAAATAAATGAGAAATGTGTGTAAAGATTTGCTTTGAGCTACCCCAAAGATGTATTGACAAAACGCTGTGAAATTGAATAATTTGGCATGCGTTGGTTTCCTTAGGGCTGTAAATATATTGGTTAATAGTGGTTAAACATGGTTAACTTTCGCGAAATGTAAAAGATGGAATCATCATTGGAATTAGTTGGTGAAGGTAGGAAAAATGGAATGCAAGCGATTAAATGACAAATTTTTTTAAATTTCTAAAGAGTCCTCTAACTATCTGACTTGAGGATAGACTTTAAATTCGATTAATATACATATGTACATTGGAAACAAGTCCTACAATTTTCCCAGTTGAAAGTTACGATTGTACGATCAGTAGAGACACTGTTTTAAGGGACTGTTTGGTCAATCCATTGTTAAAATATGGATCTATCTATTATCCTTTTTGGTTAGTCAAAGTAATCTGTAGTTCTGATTCCCTGCTGTAAGTATTTACGGAGGAGATCTTTGGTTCATTTAATTTAGAAATTCTTTCTATTACTGATTAGATTTTATATGTTTATCTGTTTCCCCTCTATTTTAATTCAGAAGCATATTCCATATATTCAACCCACAATGGTAGTAAAAATTATTGGAAATAATAAAACATGCTTGGGACAGGAAGACAACAAAAAAGGTCGCAAAGTCCCGCACTTTGGTCCATTAATGACTTGCTTTCGATGTTTTGACATTTTGTTTGTACGCGCCTGCTGGCCGCTTTGTTTGCACGGCTGCAGACGTCGACGAAGATGCAGAAGGAGGCGCAGAGACGTAGACGAAGATGGAGAGACGGGAGAGTCGCCGTTGCGGTGGCTATGAAGATGCACAAGTGCGTGACTAACGGCCACCGGTAGCCATCTACTTCGGTAGCTAAACATGAAAAGCCCACAAAACACCGACGACCAACGACCGACAACCGACAGTGCCGATGCGAGATGCTAAAATCACAGAAATGGGCAGTAAAACAAAAGACGTAGACCCCAGGCCAGACCAGACCAGACGAAGATGTAGACGCAGCCACAGGCCAGAGTCTCGCACTGGTACTATGATGGTCACAAAATGCAGGCAAACACTTGAGATGCACGTCGCGTCAATGTGTACACGCCTTAATGGAAGAGTATACATATGTACTTATTTACGGGTGGCACAGGAGCAGAGACAGAGCGGAGGTAGGGTACGGGAACGGGAACGGGAACGGGAACGGGTACGGGTACGGGAACGGAGCATTATAAAAGCCCAACCTGCGGCTTCCTCCAGCTGATTGCAACTCAAGTTTGGGACAACGCTTCAGTGACCCCGCGTGATTGTGTGGCGTCGCCATTGTCGGTGTCGTTTCCCCCCAGAGTTCCATAATTAAATCACTTCCCCGTCAACTGATGCGAAACTCTTTCATTAAGCGACTTACGACTTTGGAAATTATAATTCGCAACTTCGGGACAATTTTAAATGCAAAGATTTTTCTCCGAAAGCTTGTTCCTTCTGTTATTCCTTCCTAAATTTGAAGAAATTTTCCAAGTTTCCCCTACATAATTTAATAGTTTCAGATCCCTAAGAACTTGCCTCAGCTGCAAATACATTTCTTTCTCCCCAAGGATCGCTCCTTTGACATTTGACAAGTGTGCAATGCACACACTGTGGTTGAGGAGCAAAACCACTCATTATCATAAATTTAATGAGTTTCTAATCGCTGGTGCTGGGGGGGCACGTGTTCGCGGGATAATGAATGGAAGCTCATCAATAAGAACAACATCTGGATGTGAACCCTAACCCCTTGGTGGCCTGTGTCAATTCCCGCGGGGTTGCAGCCACAACCGGAACTGCACTAGGAGTACCACATAAATACTCATAGACTCCAACTGCACTTCCCATCGTCCAGAGTCTAAAGTCAGAGGCAGTGTCAAGAGAAGTCAAGAGTGGGCGAGCTGCAGAACACATGGCTAGATTTATGCATCTTGCCGCTGTCAGCGACGGGCGTTGCACATTGCTCGAATGCCAGCGAACCCGAACCGTACTCGTCCCTGTCCGGGGCCCCGGGAGCCATGCCAGGGAGTTGTGTGTGTCGGTGTCGGTTCTAGTACATTGCCAATGATTGGTCGGATCTGTTGGATGGATGTACGAGTTTTCGATTTGTGGCTTCTATCTTCTGTCGTACATTTCGGCTATGCGCTCGGCTCGCATTGTCCACATTCTTGGTACGCGTAATTGAAGTCACCGCGACATGTCTTTGTTGGGTGCCACCCCTTTCTCGACATTCCCTTAGCACTGAGGAGCAGCCGTCATATTTCCTAGACTCCCATTTTGCGATCAGCTCCGGAGAAGGGCTCTGGGCGGTGCGCTGCGCTGCTCGTATCTTTGTGGTGGCTGCCGTGATTTATGGACTCATTAATTTCTGTTGACAGACAATGCTGTTGACGCTGAAGGAATCTATTTAGCTTTATGTACTTTTGATTCCCACTTGCCGGAGCACGGAGCTCGCAGCTCGCAGCTCGCAGCACAGGGCGCCTATTTTATGACTTTCATTTATAATTTGAGGCACTTGCACTTGATCCGCCTAGCATTGTTAGTCAGGAAACTCGAAATGTGAACAGCAGATCTTTACAGACGGTGATTTATGTATGTAATATGTATATACTATGTACTATGAACCATTGAGCATTATCGAGACCCAGAAAATGCTCATCGATATGGGAAGAATAATGACTAAATGTTGGAAATTGACCATTAATGCAGTCTATTTATTATGGATTTAATACCAGTCAATATAATCTCAGGGGACTAAATTAACAAGGGAAATTCCTTCTCTCAGCTTGTTCCTTAATGTTCATTTGCATGGGGAAACAGCATCGATCGATGTTGTGTAAACAAATAGCGATCTCTTTTGCATTGATAACACTTGAAATTGAACTTTTGCAGATTAAGATGGAAAATGGCATTGCCAGCAGTTCAAGAAGAGACAGGGGAATACTTCTGCTTCCTCTTTCTCCCTGGCTGGGCGACTCTGTGAAATTTACTGATAAATAAATGCGATTGTGCGGCAAATTGTGCAACGCTCCGAATGCGAAATTGTCGACAAGTGCTGCTCATAGTTAGTATATAAATGAAAGGAACAAAATAAAACTAAAATAAATAACAAAATTGGAATGAAGACTGCTTTTAAAGGGTGCTATTTATATGTCTCAGAAAGAACCCAACAAAGTCTGCAACTATGTATGAATGTTTACAAAATATTTACATACATTTGTATGCATATGGGGACAGGGGCCACGCGGCGTATACGCAATGCAATTGCCGAGCCTCAGCACAACTCAACTGAGTTGTTAAATTAATTTTTTCTGCAAATGCGAATGCATATAAATTTCATAAAAAGAAAATCACACAAATTAAACATATATGAAGCGGCATCTCCCCATCGCCTCCCCAGGCGGCGCTCTGTCAATCAACCTGCCTTGCCACTGGGGCTGCCACTGGGTCTGCCGAAGGAGAAGGAACCGCTTGCCAAGACCCAAAGATTTATGGGAACAGGCCGCACCACATGCACATGTGCATAAACCCAGAAATTGTACAGTATTCAAAAAGGAAATTCAATTTGCCATGCACTTGAATACCCTATCGGGGAGGGTATGGGTTATGGGTTATGAAACTTGTGATGGAATCAAAGATCAAGAACTTTTAGTGCATACAAAATTCGTTTTAAGCTGTTTCAAACTTTGTCGCGTTTTTGTAACGTTTTGGGGCGTTCCATCCGCCAACAGATTGGATCAAACACCAAACATACAGCCCGAAAAAATATTGCCCTCAATATCAAAAACATAATTTCATGCCAAATTTATATTCCATTTGGTCCCACAACGAATTAAAACACACACACACACAAACACAATCCAAATTGGCAGCCATTTTGATATTGTATTGTATTATTTATTTTATTTGTTTCCCTTCAGTTAATGTTGTGAATATTTAGACAATTACTCAGAGTTTTCTACGATTTAATACAATTAAGTGGGCCATTTTCTCAGAACGCATGGCTTGACGTGAAAACGTGTTAATTGACGGGTCGCTTATTAATTTGATTTGAAATGTTTATTTATTGTTGAAACACAACAAAATGCCCGAAAAGTATTGTTGTCATCGAGGGTTCTTTTTGCCCATGCAATCACTTCAAAATGTGTCTCATAAATCTTACAATGTATTTGAATGATCGCATAAACAGAATTTCTTATCAATTTGATATGTTGGAATTTGTTAAATTCAATTAGGCAGAAAATAAGTTCATTGCCTCTCGACATTTGACATCAAATTTGTGCTCGCCAGCAAATAATTTCTAAATGAAATAATCTCCACATCATTCGAATCAAATCAAATTACGAATACGAGTGTGTACGAGTACATTTATTTCAGTGCACTTTTAGTTCCAGCTTATCAACCAGACAAGCAGGAAGAGGACGATGCAATCTCGTTTATTGCCAGATCATTATTTCGCATCATTCCGAAACGATAAGAAAATGCATTGCTAAAAACAAATTCAGAATAATCGATCTACAGTAAAGTCAAGTAAAAGGAAGCCAGGATTTTATTTACATATGTCTCTCTGACTATTCTCTTGGATAGCTTCTCCCTACTCTTATCGAAAATAAATCATTAAAAAATAGTTTTAAAGTTGGAAAAAATCCCATTGCAGTCCACACTGTAATCACATACTCGTAAATCTATTTTTTAGCAATTTAGTTTCGTTTTTTCTTTGCCGCTTCGTCCATTTTGTTTAGCAAAATATTATTTTTAATTAGTTCTAGTTAGTTAACATTTGTTAATTGCTCCCGTAATTGGATTTACGCGCATCAGTGACTTTTTGTGAATACTTTAATGATATTTTAATAATTTATAAAAGGAGTCGAAAAATGGCAATTTACAATTTTAAGTGCCGTCGGCATTCGTTTGTCAAAAAGCGCAAGTGTTGAGAAATTTCCAAGAAAATGAAAGGGAAATGAACGGACAAACATTTCTTTATGGATTGGGTCGTTGGTAGCATTTTGTATGTAATTTGTTTATCGTTTGTGGAGTGGCAGTGGAAACAATGACCGACCATTGTATTCGGCAATTTCCCAGAATTTATGAATTATAATGTTGCCTTATAGACAATTTTAATTGAGCTTTTTATGGCATGCAGTGCGGGGAGGATACCGATACGAACCCTTAACCCACCCGCGATCTCTAGGAGTCAAGCGTGACGACCAGGCTATGTAAAAGTATAAAATTTCATGGCAAATAGAGCCATTTGTAAGCCATTTGTACCACCAAAAAAAACACACACACAGATACAGAACTCAGAAGCATCAGACAGCAGCTACCGAATACGTTTCGAATTTCCGCTGGCATCCGTAAGGACAACGGAACGGAGAGGAAAATCCATGGGCAAATATTTACCGGAATAGGTTCCAGGGCTGTTCGAGGCAAGGGCACGGCCATATGCATCTCCATTTCGTTTCAGAGTTTATGATTTTTTAAGCTGTTTGCCAGACCTCTTCACATTTTTGTAGCTGTTTGCCTTTCATTAACAGAAGCGGCTGCTGCTGCTGCTCAGCCTCGACTCCAGATCGGATTGGATCGTATCGGATCGGATCAGGCAACGATTTTGTAGGCATGAGTGTTTGCCTTGACTAAGTCGCTGACTAGTGGAAAGTCGGAAAGCCGGAAAGTCGGAAAGGGTCCTCATTAGATATAAAGTAGTACGCTGCCGCTCCTGGTAGCTGCTGCTGTTCTAAATGATCAGCGGCTTAACTCGAAATTAAACAAACAAAATATCTTTTAGCGTTCGAAGGTTCTTCGTTCCCGATGGCGAGCAAACAAGCAAACATCTCAACGGCGACCTGGGATGCACCTGAATCGCCTCTGATCGTGACCGACGCACGAAGATCGTTCAACGTTCAACGACGGTGGCATGTTTGCACCTCTAATAAGACCAACAATCAGTGCCGACGTATCCATCACCACTCCAAAGGGTCAACAAAATGTTGCACTTGCACTTGTGCAACGAATCCCTCCGAGAAGGGTTCTAAGTTAGGAATGGGAATGAGACTGTGGAACTGCAACTGCAACTAGCATCATCGCTCATTAATCAAATATGTTTTGGAGACTGGGCACGGCACGTTGCAAAATGTTTGCCAGCTACTTTTGACTCATCATCAGCATCCAGAGCCCGAGGGGAATGGAATCGATGTGTTGCTCTAATAGGGAATACGTGACTAATTTGCATGTGCGGGAGAGTACATTTTATTCTGGCTCGGAGCAGGCCGGATGTCGATTGGCATTGGCGGTCATAAATCACAGGGGAAGGGGAAATCAACACACAGCACACAGCAATGATGCAGCGATCATCATTGAGGGTGATGTGGTGGCGATTTTCAAACTTTTTTACCTAGCAAGTCACACAACAAAACACAACACAACCGATGGTCCATTCCAGTTCCAATTTTTCGGTTCTATTCTTATCGGTAGTCGCTCGGAATAACTCAAATATCATAATTAAACTCCAAGTGCTCAACTTTGGCTTCCATTAATCTTCCATAATTGCCCAAAATTGATGTCATGCGTATTTGAAAAGCCATTAAAACAACGCAGCACAACAATCTCCACCAATAGATCCAAGCAAAGACACAAAAAACAAGAGGATCCTCCATGTACATAGCTCATTTGGTGGCTCGACAACTAGAAGATATTTGTTGAGACAAATTTATGAACGTTTAGCACAAAAGTCAAGCACTCGGAGATAATGTTCACGAAGAGAACAAACAAATTGCAGCCCTCATTGAACATATTTCGAATACTTTTTGTCGACAACGACAACGACAACGACAACACAGCAGAAGAAAATCGGAAAAAACAGACAGACAATGGAGAACAGAAGTACAACAATTTATGGGATGCACGGGGGCGCAGATGTACGGACTAAAGGATATCCATTGACATATACTTTGGTGTCCATAGCTGCGTTAGCAAGTTATTTGAAGGTTGTAAATGATCAAATCCTTTAGCTCCAAGTTCTTTGCTTAAACTTCTCTCCTTCAACAGTCTTATATGCCCTTCGGCACTGCCATTTGTAAGGAGTACAAAAAGAGTGCAGCCAATGTGTAAATCTGTGAAGATGCCTCGCATTTGCTGCTCCATCCTATAGGTAGCGCATTTGTCGTATGTGTGATCTTTGACGTTGCTTCATCCCTTGGTGGCTCTGGCGCTGGATACTCCGCTGCAGACTCCAGAGACTCGGAGCAGGAGCCGAGCCCGAGACCCTCTATGTTTGTAACTCAATTCGAAAATAATTAACGATCACAAGATTACAAATGTCAAACATAATGTCAAGCTGGGGGCTGCCGCGATATCACATTTTTGCCACCGGCATACTGTCGCTGTCACTGGGGGAAAAATGGGAAAATGCCCTGGCTCCTGTCGTCCCGAATGTTCAAAGACCAAACACAAAATAAAACCACTGACTTGGTCCCCGAATGGAACTGGAAGTGGATGTGGGAGAGCCCCATCCACTCGCCAGACGCCGCAATGCGTGTGGGTCTGTGGCGAGTGCCAGCCGATTTGTTGTGACTTATGTCACTACAATTGTATCTCAAACTCGTGAGATATGTGCAAGCGGCGGGGAGTAATCCAAGTATCCGAGATTGGTGCAAATATCTGTGGGAGTTCGTGAAGCGATTTTGCACCGAGAACAAAAGTTTTATTCATGTCATAAATAAAGTCGTATACCGAATCCTGTGTTCAAACCCATGGATAGATGGATGATACTTATGTGGCAGAGAACGGATTGGAAAAACTATCCTGCAGGGGCTCCCGCCGGAACTGCTGTTGTGGCATCTCCAGTGGCTGGCGCCGGAGCTGCTGGAGAAGCAGGAGGAGCAGAAGGGGCAGCCGGAGCAGCCGGAGGATTAGCGACCGGTGGAGCTACAGGTGGAGCGCCAGGAGCAGCAGTTGGAGCTGCAGCAGTAGGAGCCACTGGTGCAGCAGTTGTCTCAGCAGTTTGATTCGGATCCTTTTGCCCGACTATAACCGTACAGTTGCGACAAATCACTGAAATTAGACATAAATAAATCAACTGAAATCAGTAGAACAAACTCAAAAATAACTTACGGATCTCCTCCGAGTCGCTGTCGCTGTCATCAAAGTAGTCTGACAAAATGCTAGAAAACCAGTCGTACGATCCGCGTTTCTAAAATTACAAATTATTAATTTAAGTGGAATAGAATGTTTCATTAGCTGCTTACCGTTTTGGCAGGACTCTGCTCTGGCTCTGGTCGGGCATGAGTGCCCAGCAAATTGAGGAGCAGGCAGAGGCCGAGTATTAAAACAAGTTCACTTCTAGTTGACATTCTAACTTTGACTGACTGCCAATATAGCTGAGAGACTGGTTTATATAGTGCGATAAATGGCACACAAATGCATGAATGTTGGTTGAGCATCTTGGACCACTGCCAAAGGAATATTGTCAGGAGATTCCAACAGAATTTTAATTATATTTGCTTGAGAGTAAGAAATTACTTGGATCGCTTCCGATTTAGTTTGATAGTTGATAATCACATCTGTTTCAAATGATTACACGGCATCCCATAGTCGAGTTATTCTTTATTTATCTCCCCGTAATGCTCTCTCAACATGAACAATCACCTTTTATGTGGGGAGATACCGGCTATTTCGGACTATTTGTTTCGTATTTATGCAGCTGCACGTTCGTCTGGCCCATTTGTCTGGTGGGGTTAGCCCGCAAGTGCAAGTGCCTGGCAATGATCATCGAACTGCAATTGACAAGTGCGCAAATCCATAACCATAAAGTACATGAAATTTGAAACTGTCTGTCGGATCGTTAGTCCAAGTTGTGGGGGTGTTGGCAACAAGTGTCTGCGTGGCTGGCAATTCAGACTGTAATACGATATACCTTCATGCCAATGGACTTGTAAGTCGCGAAATGTACTTTTGCATTCGATTTCTTGAATGAGGGTCGATACACCAGGGCACTGCCTGCCCTGCCCACTGCCAAGTCCCTTCTTTGTTCGGTTCCTTCCTGTTTTCTTTTGCAACTCGGGAGCGGAGCCCTATTGTGGTCCATTTTTATGGCGCTGGACCACGAATACGTGTTGTGCCAGCAAGTAGCTGCTGTGAAACACAATTCGAAATAAGAAGTCGGCGCAGATGTGCAACATTTCCTCCAGTTGCCTCTAATTGTATAGGAACTGCAGCGCAGCTTCAGAGCTTTACTGGCAGGTGCCATGACTGATGCATCCAAATGATGTGTGTTGATTTTATTTTCTGGATATAATTTAACTGAAAACCTTTGTTTTTCTTTTCTGGAGCAGTCAAAGACCTTTCTTTCACCTACTTCGTCCTAGGTGGTGATCTGTCCACAGTTTAACCTGCCTTAAAAGAGGGGGAAAATCTTTTGCATTTCCGCACGTTCGTTGCATTTGAATGGTGTTTTCCAAGTCCACATTCTGTGGTACGATTCTCGAAACACCCACATCCGCAGTTCTAAGAAGCAAATGGTAGCAGGCGATTTTTTCAGCAGAAGAAACGGACAAACCCCAATCCCTTCGCTTCTGCTGCTGCTCCCCAAACTCCTCACCGCTCTTATTTGCAGGCGAAACTAATTAGAGGCAAATGTGCTTTTGTTCGGTTGCCATTCGAGGGACTGCTCTTTGTTTATACCCTAAAGATGGGGCATGGAGATGTCAGGGAATTTTGGAAGAGATTATGATACAACTTGATGATCAATTTTGTCGTTTTATGCACATGAAATCGATACATATCTTTCAGCAATTAATAATTATTCTCTGACCATTCGGAAAATATCCTAAAGAGCATCCAAGCTTCGACTTGCGCTCTGTAACTTTTCTGTTTCCCTTGCTAAACTCTCTAACCCTCACTTTTCGCTCTCCCATCTCGTTGCAGAGTCGCAGTGTCCGCAGTACGGCGAGGTGAACCAACTGGGCGGTGTCTTTGTCAATGGGCGACCATTGCCGAATGCGACGCGCATGCGGATCGTGGAGCTGGCCCGGCTGGGCATCCGGCCCTGTGACATTTCCCGCCAGCTGCGGGTGAGTCATGGCTGTGTGTCCAAGATACTGGCGCGCTACCACGAGACGGGCTCCATACTGCCGGGCGCCATCGGAGGCTCCAAGCCGCGCGTAACCACGCCCAAGGTGGTCAACTACATCCGCGAGCTGAAGCAGCGCGATCCGGGCATCTTTGCCTGGGAGATTCGGGATCGACTGCTCAGTGAGGGAATCTGTGACAAGACGAATGTGCCCAGCGTTAGCTCCATTTCCCGCATCCTGCGCAACAAGCTGGGCAGCATTGGGCACCACCATGCACCGGGCGGATCGGCTGGCTCGGGATTGGGCAGTGGAAACAGCAGCAACGGAAACGGCGGGGGCGGCGGCAGCGGCAATGTGGGTGGCAGTGCCAGTCAGCTTGGCAGCAATGGCAACGGCATGAATGTGGGAAACACACACCCGGGCGCCCCGCATCATCACCACCATCATCATCAGACGGCAGCCGTGGCAGCGGCCAGCGCCCATCATGTCCACGCCCATGCCCACGCCCACGCCCACCTCTACAATTCCATCTATCAGCCGTACAGTGCCGCCGCCGCGTACAGCATGAAGGCCGTCTCCTGCGGCAGCCCCTCACCACCGCAGGGATCGGGCGGTCAGACGCATCCCCATCAGCTGCGCAGCGTGGCCGCCGCCGCAGCAGCCGCCCACTGGCCATCGTCGCATTCTGTCAGCGATATCCTGGCCCACCACCAGGCTGTCGCCTTGCGTGCCAGCTGCCAGGTGGGCGTTGGCGTTGGCGTTGGCATGGGCAACACAGTGTCGCCGCTGCCAATGACCCCGTCGCCGGTGACCGGTGGAGCCAGTGCGGGCCAACCGCTGCTCGACTGCGAGGGTGGACAACAGACGCCCTACAACTACTACATGTACTTTCAAAATGGAGGCATGCACCATCATCACCATCACGGCGGTATGATGGCTGCCGGAGCCACGGGCTTATGAGGATTCAGCAGGAAAGCTTCGCCGGAGGCCATTAGTCATTGTTTGAGCTGGGGGGTTGGTTATGGGTGCGAAACGCAGAGCTCTTGTCGGAGACGGTTCCAGTGAACACTTTCGCCGGCAAAACGTTGCCTTTACAGTGCATACTTTTGGGAGAAGTTTCAACGTGCCGACAGATAGTTTTGGATGCCAATTGGGACCATATTTCTATACGAATTTCATGTAATTTTGGAGATTTTTCTTTGTGTTTGTTTTTCTTTCTTGGATTGTTAGAGTTTCGAGTTGGATTTAGTCAGATGAACGGCAAGCAACTCTTTATGTTGAAGTATTGAATTCGGATTTGCGGAATGGTTAATGTTAATCGAAATATATTAAGGGATATGTATGGAAGTGTATGTGTTATATAGGTTCTTGTTCTCATAACGACTATTTGTACAATATGCTCACTAAGTAAACTAGTTGACTAATTTATGGCTACGATTACAGCAACTAAATGTAGTTATCGTAATAATAATAATGATAATAATTAAACCAAGTGTAACTATCGAATAAAATTGTATTTTTAGACAATTTCTGTAATTACTCTGCGGTAATGCCTTGGGGACGGGATGGGGCTAACTGCTGCATATGTACATCTAATCCTAAGCTGGAGTGACGGGTTCCAATATTTAACAATAACATAAAAGAACACGGATATGATGAACCAATCCTGCCATCCTTCAGGGCCACACCATTGTCCACCGCCTAGGGACAGCACTCGCTCTCGTCGGGTGTCTTCTTGTTCCAGCCAAAGAAGAAGTAGCCAATACCCAGGCCAAGCACTACAGCGAGGCAGAGCCAGTAGTTGAAGGTCATGAAGATCAGCATGAGCAGGTAGGATATAACGATCTGCAGCAGATTCAGCAGCGACTGAATAATGTGCGAGGAGTCCAGCAAGCGTTGCCCATAGCTCAACTCCCTGGGCTCGGCCAGGGGCGTGTCCGAACCGTTTGGATTGTCGCTCTTCCGACGCTGCTCGTCGGCCAGGCGTTCCGCCTCCTTACGGGCCACGCGGCGCGCCAAGTGCTGGCGGAGGAACTTCAGCGCCTCGTACAGAAAGGAAACAACAAAGATGGCTATGGCGGAGAGCACGAACTCTGTCACCGTCGCAGCCACCCAGCCACGCCACAAAATACGTTCGCAGTGTCCAGCATGGAACTGTTCAGAGAGAAAGAGAGGGAGAGGAAAAGAGCACAGGTTAGCAAAGTACAACAGGTACAGGTACAGGGTGTCGCAAGCAACAACTCTGAACAGCAACTTTGTTTATAATATATTTGACATGATATCGAAATACATATTCCCTATCTATGACCTACTAAACTAATCTCATGGTGCTTGTCCACCCAATGTAACACCCTGTTTAGCGTGTGTTTTGTTATGCTTCTTATTGTTTGCAGAGAGCTGGAGAGAAACAAACGAGAGAGCAAAGCTAGCGGAGAGCACACCGCCATATGTACAGTTTACATACAAAAGTGCGCGAGTGTAAGTCAAAGAGTGAGTAAATAGATAATTTAACTTGTTGTCAGATCTCTCAGCTCTCGTCGCTAAATCCCATACGGCGAAACTGGAAATTCGTTTGTTATATTATCACTCTCTCCCTTAATACGTAAACATTTACATGTGAAATCAAACAGATTGTGTAACTTACCACCATGATCATGGGGCAGGACTTCGCTGCGCTGTCGTCTGAGCCATGATCGTGATCGTGATTGTGATCCATATCCATCTTGTTTATTTGGATACTAATAATTAATACAAAACACAATGTGGGGGGAAAACCGAAAGCTGTGAACACTGGACAGGTTATAGTGATAACCGCAACACACTTGTTCGTGAGCTGAGAGCGAAGCGGCGACTGTTGCCCCCCGATGGTCGTGAGTTGTTTTTTAAAGAAAAATCGACCCTAATCCCCGTCGAGACGATAGGCAAGTGCGCTTATCACTGAGAAATGGGAAATGTACGTTATCAACTGCTAGCGGGGCGCAGGTTGCAAGCGGCGATATCACCAGCCCACCTAGAGGGTATTTACATTGAGCAAGAGTAATGGCTAAATATGTTCGATATGTAAACATAAGTACGAGATAAAGATAAAGATATTAAACACAAAGAAGGATTATAATCTGTGATGCATCTTTGCAAATTTCCACAGGATTATAATGGGGGGGGGGGGGGAATACAAACAAGAGGGGACCAAAAACATTTCAACATCTTGTAATCTATCACTAATTGTCATTTCAACAGATCAAGGTCATTCATGTTCCTGTACCTTCTCACCAAATACACCATGCCAAATAATATGATTTATGGAGCTAGTCCAGTATCAAAGGTTGTGGAATATTCTTAAGTGCAGAATCATTTATTGCAATTCAGATTATCAATTGTTTTCTTGGCCAACAAATTGTTGCTCCTGTTCAATGTGTTTAAACTTTTGACTTTCTTCTTCTGTTAGAACTTTATGGTACTCGGCTGATACGCACCCACCTACATCTGTACATATTGAACATTGGCAGTAGCCAACTGGCCAACATAGCAACCGTCGTGCGCTGGTTTTGCCGTTTGTCTTCCTTAGGCCCATTTGGCTTTTAAAGAGTTTTATTTCTAACTGGTGTCGAATGCCTCCGGTTGGATCGATGGCCGTGTGCAAATATTTTACGACCGTGCGCAAAAACTACGGACATTCTTGAGGCCGTGTGCTAATTTCGAAAGACTCGTGCCGTGTGCATAAGCTGAAGAAGTTAAACGATATTGCAGAGGGGTAATTGGTTCAGTTATTGGTTAAAGTGCAAAGCTTTTTATTACGTTCCTTGGAAGGGGAAATGCTTATTTTCATAACAGTTAGGAGACCTTACATTTTCCACGACAAAGACATATTGAATTAAATTTATATATGGCTTATAGCTAATTAAAAATTGTTTTTTTCTGGGAATAAATCGGAATTTGCACAAATCTAATGCCAATTGCATTTAAAATAACTGCCAGTGACATCCGTGCTACCAATGCAAACAATGAACCTTTTTTATTCGATGTGGCAATACTACCATTATCAATGTGTTAAGCTAGTTTATTTTTATTCTGAACCTTATTTTGTAAGCAATCAAATAAAAGATTGCCATGAAAACTAAGCAAACCTGTGGAAAACAAGTTAATGTATTGGATATAATTATAGTTGCAAGGCTGAGAGACTTCGCTTGCTAGCAATACTCAACAGAATATCAAAGTCAAGGAATGTGATTCCCGATCAACATAACTGGAGGTTAGCCCATTGTCGACCCGAGGGGTTTTAAATGTACCACCAATTTAATCCAACTGCAAGAATTTTAGCACAGCTCATGTGAAGTATATCTTGGCTTTATATTTTTGTAAGTATAAAGAAAGGTTGAATCTACAAGATAAATGAGTAAAACAGTGTTATTTTCAGCGATTCAACTCAAGCTGTTTACATGTTTAAATAGAGGGGGGTTCAGTGGGTTAAGTGTATAATATAATTCAATTTTGACTAGATTCTTGCCATTTTAGATGTGAGTTTTTGCCTAAACGCCGATGCCAATTGTGTAATTTAATATTTGGATCGTGACAGTAGGATAGCCCGCCGCTCCAAGGACGCTGAATTGCAATGTTTGCGCTACGACATCTGCTGAAGGGCAGAAAGCATTTCCCATATTATGCGGCGACAACAACAAAGAGCATGCTTCCAATCCCAGCTGTGCCGGCGCGTGTTCTGATTGGACTCCACACAGAAAGCGATTACCGCAACGGAAGGCTACCGCAGGTCCAGGAGCTTTGTTGCCGCAAGATGACGACGCTGCCCACATCCAAGAAGCCGACCTCGCTGCTCGAAGAGCTGGCTGCAGCAACGAAACCATATGCCCAGCTGATGAGGATTGATCGACCCATCGGCACTTACTTGCTGTTCTGGCCCTGTGCGTGGAGCATAGCGTTGAGCGCAGATGCTGGTTGCTGGCCGGACCTTACCATGCTGGGCTTGTTTGGAACGGGAGCATTGATTATGCGTGGCGCCGGCTGCACCATAAACGATCTCTGGGACAAAGACATCGACGCCAAGGTGGAGCGAACACGTTCACGGCCACTTGCGTCCGGACAGATTACTCAATTCGATGCCATTGTCTTTCTCTCGGCTCAACTAAGTCTGGGACTGTTGGTACTTGTCCAGCTCAACTGGCAGTCAATTCTGCTCGGTGCCAGCTCCCTGGGACTGGTGGTCACGTATCCATTGATGAAGCGGGTGACCTATTGGCCTCAGCTGGTTCTTGGCATGGCCTTCAATTGGGGCGCTCTGCTGGGCTGGTGTGCCACCCAAGGCAGCGTCAACCTGGCCGCATGTCTACCGCTCTACCTGTCTGGTGTGTGCTGGACCATTGTCTACGACACAATCTACGCCCATCAGGATAAGCTTGATGACTTGCAAATCGGTGTCAAGTCCACTGCCCTGCGTTTCGGCGAGAATACAAAAGTTTGGCTGTCCGGTTTCACCGCAGCCATGCTGACGGGTCTCTCTGCCTCCGGCTGGGCCTGCGACCAAACGCTGCCCTACTATGCCGCTGTTGGAGTTGTTGGCGCTCATCTTGTGCAGCAGGTGGGTAGCTCGAAACTCCATTTTGGTAGATTTCCACAACAACTTGCCTGTTTTACAGATTTACTCCCTCAACATTGACAATCCCACGGACTGTGCCAAGAAATTTTTATCGAATCATCAGGTGGGACTCATTCTGTTTCTTGGAATCGTTCTTGGCACACTACTGAAAGCGGACGACACTAAAAAGCAGCCACAACCCGCACTAGCATCGCCAGCAGCCAGCTCCTTTGTTTCCCTAAGTCAGAAGCCAGATGTTATAAGCTGAACGAATGCCAACTACCTGCATTAGTGGATCTTAAATTGAATGTTTTTCGCCTTGGACCAAAGTCTATAGTTAGCTAAATAGTTTTCATTTTGTACATAGGCATGTAGAACTTCTTTATTTGTAGATTAGTTTCACCGGGAAGATTAAGTTAAGCATAAGCAAATGATTGTAAAATACCTCGCAGCATGGTAATGGCTATGACCATTAATTTTAAGTGCACTTCACCAAGGTAAAGTATCAACACCCCCTCTCCGCACCACCCCGAACCAATGTCGCAACTACAAACTGGTTTCTGTATTAAATTCTTACGTGTTATTTATTATTATACAGATTTTGGTTGTCTTCAAATATTCAAATGTACTCCACTCCATTTGTTGTTAATGCTAAGAAAAGATGCGCTGCGTTTCGTTACATCAAAAAATACATTGACAGAAATGTATCTATTGTGTGTTAGATCAAGTCGGCCACGTTCATGGGCATCTCGTCGATTTGTGTGGAGTAGTATTGCTCAATGTCGCGCAAAATGCGAATATCGTCGGATTTGACAAAGTTAATGGCGACACCCTTGCGTCCAAAACGACCCGATCGGCCAATGCGATGGATGTACAGCTCACGGTTGTTGGGCAAGTCGTAGTTGATGACCAGGGACACTTGCTGCACATCAATGCCGCGAGCCCACACATCTGTGGTGATGAGAACACGCGACTGGCCGGCGCGGAACTCCTTCATGATCTCATCACGCTCCTTCTGCGGCATGTCGCCGTGCATGGAGCTGACCGTGAAATTAGCCTCGCGCATCTTCTCCGTCAGCCAGTCCACCTTGCGCTTTGTATTGCAGAAAATGACAGCCTGGGTGATGGTTAACGTATCGTACAGATCACAGAGCGTGTCGAACTTCCACTCCTCCCGCTCGACAGCCACGAAGAACTGTTTGATGCCTTCCAGGGTCAACTCATCGCTGTAATAAAATGCAAAATGAGTTAAAGGTTTGCTGGGTACATCCAAGTGCATTCTACTTACCGCTTGACCAATATGCGAATGGGATCTGTCATAAATTTTGATGTCATTTCAAGGATCTCATGGGGCAATGTGGCTGAGATGAGCACCACCTGCGTTGCTGGTGGCAAATACCGGTAAACATCATAGATTTGTTCCTTAAAACCTTTGTTCAGCATCTCATCGGCCTCGTCCAGCACCAGCATCTTGATGGCTCTGGTGCGCAGAACACGCCGCTTGATCATGTCGAACACACGTCCCGGCGTGCCGCTCACAATGTGCTGGCCGTAGTCCAGTTTGCGTATGTCCTCGCCCAGATTTGTACCGCCAATGCACACGTGACACTGCACATTCATCATATCGCCCAGGGCCAGTATCACCTTCTGGATTTGTACAGCCAACTCGCGGGTGGGCGACAGACACAGCACTTGTGTCTCACGCAAAGAAGTGTCCAGACTCTGCAGAATGGATATGGAGAATGTGGCTGTTTTTCCTGTACCCGACTGAGCCTGGGCAATAACATCGCGTCCCTTCACAATGGGCTTGATGCTACGCTGCTGAATGGCCGATGGCTTCTCAAAACCTACACATTAAATAGTTAAATGTTAATAACTGTATCGGTTAGATAGTAGCGTGAGTATACACACAACTTACCGTACGCATAGATGCCGCGTAGCAGCTCCTCCTTTAGATTCATGGCATTGAAAGTGGGGATTACCTCCACATCCTCGCTGGTCTCGAACTCAACGTTCGAGAGATCCTCGGCCTGGGCATTCTTGCGCGCCATTATTGCTGTGTTTTATATATTATCTGCTCACTTTTTCTAAAAAGTCGGTCGTTTTCAATATTTTTCTACTTTCACACAACGCGGTTAGGGATGGTCGATCAAATATACCGTGATATACCGTAACCCTCAAAAATATACCAAAGTATACCTTCCCATTTTAAAAATATACTATAAATATACCGTACTCTTAAATCATATTTCTCGATTTTGATGTTATATTTGATATTACCAGCTTGCAAAGACTTTTAACACCGAAACAACATTTTAATCCGATTGAAGAATCAAGTTAGCTTATTATAAGTACTCCTTTTTATTGGATTGTATACCCTATGACCTGAAATTTGACGAATTTGTATTTTAATTTTTCATTCATATCACCCCTTTTGGAAGCAAGGGAGCTTGGTTTTCAGTATGAAATGTATGTAACATGTAGACACATGTATGTAATGTATGTTTTGGTGCGTTGACTTGCTAAATGCGATGGATCGAAAATTCGGTTTGATGTTTGAATTTTGTCTTGGGGGTGGTAGTTGGTGGTCGGACCCTTGAAAAACAAATAAATATACAAATAAAAACTGTTATTTTAACTGTAAGCTTTAATTATTTTATATACAGATTTTATACTGTTTTGTTTTGAAATGCATGGCTAGTGGCACCAGGCTGCCGGTGTGCCGTTTAAATGGCCCTCAAAGAAATCGCTATACAATGCAAGTTATTTATTATTTCCAGCTTAAAACCCTAACCCGTCGCCACCAAGACCAATTGTCCATGCTCAGAGTAACATAGTTAACAAAATATAAAACCTCTTGTCCTTAACATCAACGCAATAAAATAGTGTTTGTGTTTAGTTTCCGAATGCAGATCTCTCTCAAAGTGTCGAAATATCTAGTATGGTGTCGACTCGCTGCTTCGCTTGCTTGGCGGCACAGTTTGCCTTCTTGGCACTGTCCCTAGTACGCTTCATATCAGCCTGCAGCTCATCCAGATTCTTTTTTAGGTACTCCACTCGCCGCTTGGCAGTTTCTTCAAGTTTCCGCTTCTCCATCACCTCCCGTTTGGCATTTTCTGCCACGCTGCGAATTTTCTCAAGGCTCACTTGGAACTCCCCATACAGACATTTCAGATTTGCGACGATTTTCTGGTTGTTGTTTCGCACCCGCTTGGCCATCTTTGCAGTGTTGGAGCTGCTGGCAGCCGCCTTCTTCATCTTCTCACGGAACTTCTTGATCTCGCTCAGACTGCTCTCGAGAGCGTCCAGCAGCTGCTTATTGCCAGCAATCAGCGTTTCGGCAGCCATGGATGCATCCATGGACTCGGTCGTATTTCCGGACTTCTGCGTGGCACATCCCGATGGCGAATCCGTTGCGCCTTTTGGCTTCGCAGACGCTTTCGGGGCAATCAAGGCTTTCAAGTTTCCGGGCTTGTGACGCTCATCGCATTGCTTGACTGTCGTTAAAGTGGTCGCCACAATGAAGCTCGCCACGAACAACACAACGAAGGACTTGTAACCCATTGGGAACTAACAAACATACAATTCTCAACTGACACAAATCTCCACTGACACAAATCTCCAAGTCACATCAACAGCATAACAAAACAGTCAAAAGTGTCAGAAGTTTTAGCTCTATATGTTCAATCCCCGAATTGAGAATATATTTTATAGAAATAAAATAGAAAATGCTGTTCGAGCATATTATTCGAGCCATGTTGGTGGTTGTGGCCATTGCTTGGGCTCTCAGTGATGCCCAGCCGCTTGAAGAGGTACGTAAGATGGAGAAAACATTCCCAAAAGTCCACAGATTTCCCCGTGCCCCCACAGACGTACAATGATTTTTCCAACCTGGTGCATGATGATTCCGAAGGAGGTTGCTCGCAGAGCAATTGCCACATCAATATGGCTGGTGGTGGCAAACAGAAGGCCACCAACATAGCCCAGAAGGCCGCAAAGGAGGCCAAAGATGCCTCCGATGCCCAGGTGTCGGCCGCCGAGGCTGCTGCCCGACATGTGAAGCAACAATTGGCCGACAAGGCCTTCGCTGCAGCCAACGCTGCAGAAGCTGCTCTTGCTGGGAAGCTGCAAATCGTCGAGCAGCTGGAATCTGAGGTACGCGAGGGTGAGGTGGTCGTCCAGGAAGAGGCCGCCGGACTGCAGACCACCCAAAGCACAGCAGCGGCTGCCGCCCAGGCCGCAAGCATGGCCGGTACCCAAGTCAAGACAATCACCGATGCCGTCAAGAATGCCCACGCCAATGTTGCCAACTCGGAACAGGTGTCCAATGGCGCTCAGCAGGAGCTGGCCGAGAAGCAGCAGCTCGTCGAGACGGCCAAGAAGCGCGTGGAGATGTTGCTCAAGCAGCTGGATTGCGCCAAGAAGGACTTCAATAGCACCAAGAAGCTGGCCGAGAAGGCTGCCTGTGCTGCCCAGGAGGCCAGAACACGTGCCTCGCGAGAGCGTCGCCGCGTGAAGATGCTCGACAAGTTAATGCGTCGCTATAGACGCGGTTACTAAGCCTAAGACAATTTGTGTTTATTTTTTAATAAATTATTGTTTGCTTCCGATTCCGAGACTCCACGCTGATCCGAGAGGAAGCGAAGCCATCAGCGGACACGGGCGCCGATCGTCTCTGCCATGCGATTTGCGAGCTTGCTGCCTCGGAGCGGAGCAGACTTGTGGCAATTAGAGGCTCTTCTATAATTACTCATGCGGCAGTGGCTGTTGCAGTGGCTGTGGCTGTGGCTGTAAATTATCCAATCCTCCAGCCTGGTAGCATTGACCCAGCCCCATTGTTGGTGTTTGGTGTGGAATCAATTGGCGCTGCCGGGGCAGGCCAAGTCATAAAGAAAACGGACCACCGTCCAACGAGTTTGCACTTTCATCGCAACAGCGACACACACAGCGAAAAGCGTTTTGTTTATAAATACATGACGCCTGCACAGGTCTGCTGGCAATCGTCGAGAGGTCTCCAACGGATTTACAAAAGACATCGAAGCGCATTGCATTCCCAAAGCCGAAAGTAAAAGCGTTTTGTCCAGCACACCGAACCTGTCCATCGACTTTGCGGGACCGAGACCTTGTGGTGGGAGCTGTGTCGTCAACTGGCATTAGATACGGTTTGCCCACGCTGCAGTCAGGACGTGTGTTGTCAGCGGTTGATTTATCTGTCAAATAGTGAGTGATTCGTGCCCAGTTTTGTGCCAGCAGTGATGCCGATGGTTAGGTTGTCCTGGCCTTAAAAGCAAACTGGTTCTTCTGTGGAACATACGATAAGCGGACTGAACTGGGTGTGACACACAAACTGTTTGCCGGCCATCATCCTAGACCAAAGAAAGTGCACTCCTTACGTTGTTAGCTAACATAAATTGGCAGTCATAGAACCGGTTACATTTGCCTCGATTGAAAATCCCAGCAATAAATTCGAGTATCCGTACCCCTGTGCCGTGATCCCGAGTCTTCCGGCTGGGCAATTTCTTTTTTAGATTGCATAATTTTCAATGATGCCTTCGGCCATGCAGCTGCTGCTACTGACAATGCTCTTGGGTAAGCGTCGTGTTTCCCTATGCAAATTTCATGTCGCCTGTAAGCACTTCCTTTTCCCAATTAAGTTGCAGCCATGCCAGCAATGGGACTGGGACTGGGACGCAAGGTGAAGCGGAAGGACGCTCACTACCGTCTAAATGTGCCGCCTTTACCTCCGTCAGCGCAGGGCCAGATTCACGTTCACCAGGGGCAACAGAGCCACCAGCAACAGCAAGCCACGCAGATCGACCACGAAGTGCCGCCATATTCATTCGAAGCCATCAACCACGACGAGTTTGAGCCAGCTCCGAGTCCACATCCGAATGGACAGCAGCACTCGCAGCATTACGAAAGCTCCGACTACATTGTACACAACCTGCAAGGCGGAGGCGGCGGGGGCGTATATCTGGTGGATAATGGACTGCGCAGCATTGCCAAGGGATCGGCGGATACAGCCAACTCGGCAGTGGCCAGTCAGAATGCGGCCGGGAAGCAGGCTTCGTACGTGGCCAAGAGCACTCTGGCCCAGGCAGCGGCCCAGGCAGCCGGCACAGCCGTCGCTGTGCTCAAGGGCAAGGAGGTGCTCCTGCACCGACTGGAGGACCAGAGCGTGGAGGCGCACAAGGCATTGGAGAACGAGCTGACGCAGCTGCAGCAGGCCAAGCGATCGGCGAAAGCTGCACAATATGCGGCCCAGCAGGCCATCAACCATGTGAGCGTCCTCACGGCGGCACTAAACAATGCCCAATCCGCATCCGAGCTCGCCCAAAAGTCCGCGTCCGAGGCAGCCGCTGAATTGGCCTCCCAAATCGATATGGTGGCCCAGGCCAAGACCAAACTGGAGCATGCCGAGTCGCACGCGTACGCTGCCCGCTTGGACTATGAGGAGACTCGCGATTCGGCGGAGAAGGCCACGCTGTCCGCACAGGAGGCGCAGATCAATGCCAACGATGCTGCTGTGCACGCCAATGTGGAGCTAAGTGAAGCGGTTCACATTCATGATAAAAGCGATCGCAATGTGGTTGAACCGGCACCAGCTTCGGCCCCGGGCCCAGCTCCGGCCCGACGTCGTAGACGCCCGTAATACACTTCCATTCCGAATTTGTTTCGTAAATTTAAGCTTCAATTTGTACCTATTTATTTATTTTACATATATTGATTAAAAGTCTATGTTTTTTTATCTTGTTAATAAATAAAAAGTTGGGGGAGCAGCTTTGAATATAACATATTAATATTAACTTATGGAAATAGGGTATACAATTTGCCACACTCTCCATAATAACAAGCAAAAACTTTTCATGTAACGTTTTAACCTTATGTTACAATCAATCAAATAAGATAAGAAATGAAATCCAGCCAATCTTGTGAAGAATCAAATATTGATTCGAGTAAAATTACTATTTTAAAGCTGAGAGTCCTAAATATTTGATAATATTAAACAGAAGATCAAAGTCGAGGAAAATGATTTTAGATTTACGGTATGTTTACAGTATATTTTGAAAATTAAAGTGCGCGTCGGTATATTTTATCGATAATTTCGCAGTCACACTGGTGCCGGCATTTATTTACAAATATTTTATTTGCAAATAATTTAGAAAAACTGAAAAAAACAATTGAATTAGCTGCAAAATATGAGCCGCCAAGAGCCGACATTTGAGGACCTGAGGTCGTACTTCCGGAGTCACAGTAAAATACGAGAGCAGCGGGCGCATACGTCCAAGGTAAGTGGCCAGTCGGATAATTTAGAGATTTTCACGAAACAAATGTCTGATGGTCACAGGTTCACTCGGTTTGTTGGAATGCTGATGGTCGCCATTTGGCATCAGGCTCCTTTGACAAGACGGTGGCGGTGTACACCTTGGATCGCGATCGCCTCATCAAGGGCAGCATCTACCGGGGTCACACAGCGTCCGTGGATCAATTGTGTTGGCACAAAACCAATCCGGATCAGTTTGCCACTGCGAGCGGCGACAAGACCGTGCGCGTCTGGGACATTCGCGCTGGGAAGTGTGCTTCAGTGACCAACACCAAGGGAGAGAACATAAACATAGCGTGGTCCCCGGACGGCAAGACCATTGCTGTGGGCAACAAGGAAGACCTAATCACATTCATAGACACGCGGACGAACAAAATACGCGTCGAGGAGCCCTTCAGCTGTGAAGTAAATGAGATATCATGGAACAATACAAACGATTTGTTCTTCCTCACCAACGGCATGGGCTGCATTAATGTTTTAAGCTATCCCAGTCTGGAGCACCAACTGACGCTCAAGGGGCATCCGGCCAACTGCATTTGCATTGAGTTCGGGCCCACAGGTAGGCTAAACCCCTTGCGTATACATACCTTTCGCACTATCTAATGCCCTCTATTTTAGGTAAATATTTTGCCACTGGTTCGGCCGATGCCCAGGTCTCGCTTTGGGACGCCAATGAACTGGCCTGCCTGCGTATGATTAGCCGCCTGGAATGGCCTGTGCGCACCATTTCCTTTAGCCACGACGAACGGCTGATAGCCTCTGCCAGCGAGGATCTGCTCATTGACGTTGCCTTCACGGAAACGGGCGAACGTGTCACCGACATTCATGTGGAGGCCTCGACATTCACGGTGGCCTGGCATCCGAAGCAGTACCTGTTGGCCTATGCCTGCGACGAGAAGGATGTCGAGCGGCGTCGCGATGCTGGCAATGTCAAAATATACGGCTTTCCCGAACAAACCCAGGGCCAGTAAAGAGTTTTATGTATTATTCAATCATCAATGGTGAGACCTCGCAATGCATTCGAGATTATAAACTATGAACTTCACAAAGTCACGTAGTACCCTGTGGCAGGCAAGTGGATTATCAATTTCGAAGCTCAACTTCCGCACGTGTGTGATTAAATTGAGCTGCATGGGCATCTACTTGCAAGTCAAGTGCTAGTTTTTATCATCCCACAGACAGGCTGCCTGCCAGTTCGGTTTTTATGGCATTAAAGGAGCTTCGCTGCACTCCGGACTCCACGCTGATGTAACCCCGGTTGTCTGCCAGCTTTAAATTGCAGTTCTTGCCAGGCATCAATCATCAAGGGAGGGAGGAGAGGAGACAATTTTACTTTTAACATCAACTTGTAGGAGTACTTGGGATGGGATCTGATTATGCACCCTGCCCTTAGAGCTGTTTACGGTTATGGCTTCTTCCGTTTTAAGCTATTAATCAGTGGCAACACTTTGGGTTTGCCGTGAGTACCTGAGAACGAAAATGCAACTGCCAGCAGGACAAATCTTAGTGGGCCAAAGGTCGATGTCACTTTGCTGCAGTTGTTTGCACAGGCTGGCTTATAAATTGGGCTCCATTAGCCACAAAACTTTAGGGAGAGGCCAAAGACACGAGTGGGGTGATGCAATTGCTTTTAGTTTGCTTTCTGTTGCTATTTCTTGAGCTCACTCGTGAACTAAAAGTATCTGCGCGAGATGTACAAGTGGAGCACAAACAGAAGAGAACACCCCACACATCAATGCCGCGTCGATTACTGAGTACAGTCCCAGTCCCTGATTGTGATTGCATTCTGCCGCGCTCCATGTACCCACCAAGTGCACAAATATTTGCACGACTAAATGTTTGCGATAGATTTTGGTTTGGATTTCCGTTTTCCTGGCACTCTGGCGCTCTGCCCTCGATACCCAAGTACTAAAATCATTCTTAATTATTATTAATTGCATTTTTTCTATTGCAGCCTTCTCATTTAGTCGCAAAATATTGTAGTTCTGGGTCAACGCACTGGTGTGGTTCATTAGATACAAAATCCCAATATCCTCGCAGCATAGGCAGATGGGTTTGGTTATTTTTTTGTAATGCCCATTATTTGGAGGAGTTATAACGGTGTTTTATTCCTACACGAGTTCTAAAGAATCGGTGGTTTTGGTTGGAGTTTTTGAATAATTTCAACAAATAATATCATCGTCATCATCCATATCTGATTCTTTAAAGGCAAAGTTGGTCTTGTTTTTCGATAGGGTCTGCGTTTAACGGTTTTTTATAGACCTGCCGGGAAAGCTACGTCCTTTGCTACATGGTTTTACTTGCTCCACCTGTCGACGCACGCTTGTCAATTTAAATTTGCAGATTCAGCGCGCCTCTCCTTTTAAAAGGTCCCCTTTCCAACTTCAGCACACAGCAAATGTAACGCCATTCAGCGCTCTTTTAATGTTAGGAAAATATCTCGCATGCGATAATTGTGTCATGCTCGTGCTGTTCCTATGAAAATGGAATGAAATCAATGCTGTTAAGGTTCCCCTCCATGTTATGGCCACTAGCAGCGTGGTATGCTTCTTTTTTGGTTGACCTTTTTAAATTGATAAAAAAATCATAAAAAGTAGCCAATCTGCTTGAGAATTAATTCATCAATCAGCAGCGAAAGAAGCACACGGAAGATGCAAAATGTGAGATACACCGAATACTGAAAGAAGAATGGGAGAGAGAGAGTACTGCAGAGGATACTGCTCACTTTTTGCCTCTACCTCAACAAAACCATGGTTCCTAAATAGAAATAAGCTAAAAGCCATTGATGCTAAAAGGATCAACAGACCGTGCTGCTGGTTACCCGTAAATGTATGGTACGCGCACTCTTCCATCCAATGGTAATGACAACTCTTAGACGCCTGGAGGCCAACTGGAGTTTTATTTGATTTAATTAAATACGATTGCATTGGCTTGCATAATGGCCGACGAATTGACGGTTGACAGTTGCCCACTTGGATCAGTCCTACTCTGGTGATGGGTGAAAGCTGGCCGGGATTTATCAGCTGTTATCAGCGCGCATGGCAGGGGGGACTGGACTGGAATTGGGACTGTGACTGTGACTGTGACTGTGACTGACCCCAAAAGCTGATAATCGTTCAAGTGCAATGTCATATTAATAAGTGTTTTTGATAATCTATGTACATACAGTACAAGAATGTTTTAGCAATTGTAGAACATAAAAGAATTGTAGAGCATTTTCCGAGGCATCAACAACATTTTCCGTTTCACTTTTGCTGAGTGTATGAGTTTGAAAGATTGCTGGTAATTAATCAGTTGACGCTTCCCTTGGCTGGTATATGTGTGGAATCTTTCTGTCCCAGCCTGTTGAGGTTAACATAGGTTCAGTTACATCTCTTGATTACAGAAATTGTTTACTAAAATCTATCGACTATAAAGCGGAAGTGAAACATCGCGTTGCCAATTGACTAATTGTAATTTGATAACAACTCTCTCCGGTTGTATAAATAGATTTAAATTCAAAACGATATACGATATAATAAAACCTACAGCAACCCAGCGAGTCAGCCTACTCACGTGATAGTAGAAGTTGCTCCATAAACAAGTTCATCGAGGAAAGACTTTTGTACAGAAGCCCAAGCTGTGTCGGCTGAGTTCCACTCTGTAAGAGAGCTGCTCTAGATGGAGCTTATCATCAAGAGGGAATGAAATTAAATAACATAGTTAGACGCTGGACCGGCTTATCGCTGAACTGAACTCTTGACACAGAGCAGCTGGTGGCAGCGAGACAGCCAGCTATCAGCAGGTGCGTCGGTATAAATCTAGGGAACGGAGCCGTCGGCGATTCAGTCTAGAAATTTCAACTGATTCGTGATCGTGTGTGCAAGAATACAAACAATATGCTGAAGTATCTCATCCTTACCCTGGCCCTCTGTGCTGTGGTGTGTATTTTCGATTGAATCGTTGTTAATCCCATCATCATAATTAAATCAATGAAATACTCGTAAGCAGGCCTACGCCGACGATGAGTGGAAGCCCAAGACTGGCGAGGATATCAAGCAAATACGCATTGAGTGCCTGAAGGAGCATCCCCTCAACGGTGATCAGATCTCTCAGCTGAAGCAGCTGATCTTCCCCGACGAGCCCGATGTGCGCCAGTATCTGCTCTGCTCCGCCCAGAAGCTGGACATCTTCTGCACCCACGAGGGCTACCATGCCGATCGTCTTGCCAAGCAGTTCAAGATGGACCTTACGGAGGAGGAAGCCCTGGAGATCGCTCAGGGCTGCATCGACAAGAACGAGGAGGGCAGCCCTGCGGATGTGTGGGCCTTCCGGGGACACAAGTGTCTGATGGCCAGCAAGATCGGCGACAAGGTGAAGGCCTTCGTCAAGGCCAAGCATGACGCAGCCGAGGCGGCAAAGGCGAGTGCTTAAGATCGTTGAGACCAATAAAAGTGTTCACATTTTGTGCTGGAACGCAACTCGTTGAAGTCGGGAGAAGTCGGTACATATATTTATTGAAAGAGTTACCCTCTTTGCGGGTGTACGGGCTATCGGGGTATCGGGGGAGGGGCAACACAATTTGACTACAAGTGCACGGAACTACATTGAATAGCTACTGAGGCTTCTGAGCAAGTGATTCTCCCGCTGGAGTAGCCTAGGCATCGCCGCCCTCGGATATGGCCTTCATGGCAGCATCGATGTGTGCCACCAGCGGCAGACCGCTCTCGAGTGCGGAATTGCGGTATCCCTCAAGAAAGTAGCAAGTTTCGGTACCATTCGGATTGGGGAACTCCTTGGGCAGGCACGAGGGATCCCGTGGTTGCAGATCAAAGTCGAAGCCCTCGTGCTTGGTCAGCCATCTGCGGGCAAGAGGGAATTGTAGATTAGATGGATTCGTGACTCCATTTGAGACACTACACTTACTCCTTGGTTTATCACGTTTATCACGTTTATCTTGACGGCCTCACTGCCGGACTCGAACTTGTTGGCTATGGTCACGCTGTTCGCCATCGTGGGTGATGTGCTTCGAGCAAGCATCGATCATCTTGAGGGCCATCCAGGCCACCTTGTGGGCATCGTAGATGGAAGTGCGATGAAGTCCACTGGCCACGCAGTAAGCATCCCCGATCGTCTCCACCTTGTAGACGTCGAAGAAGTCGCAGAACTCGTCAAAGTCCTTGTACAGACCCTCCAGCATGCTGATCACGATGAAGGGAGTGGCCCGCGAGCAGATTCCGGTGAAGCCAACGATGTCGCTTAACAGAATGGTCACATCCGGATAGGTTTTGGCATCGATCGAGGAGCCCAGCCACAACTTCTCGGCGATCTCAGCGGGAAAGATCAGATAATCAGATCAGATTAATGATACGAAATCTACATTTTAAATTTTACCCCTTTCCCGCGGGTTTTCTCGTATCGCCATCCCAACGGACAGCAGAAACGGGACTCTAAAACTGGCAAGGAGCATTCAGGATAATTTTATCGCTTATAAAATCAGGGAGAAGATCCGTCAAGCCCAATACCTTAAGAAGGTAGAAATCCATTTTATACCCGGCCACGCCAACATCCCTCAGAACACGGCAGTAGACTCAGCAGCCAAAGAAGCACACAGACTGCGAAAATATACAGTCGTTAAATGGAATTTTAAAGATGCAATATGTGAGATACACCGAATACTGAAAGAAGAATGGGAGAGAGAGTATGCCGAGTTTGCCAGCCTTAAACGCAGAGGATACTGCTCACTTTTTGCCTCTACCTCAACAAAACCATGGTTCCTAAATAGAAATAAGCTAAAAGCCATTGACGCTAAAAGGATCAATGGACTGATTAGCGGCAGTGCATTTGATAGGCACACACTTGCCAAAATGCACGTAGTCGCAAGTAACATTTGTGATACTTGCGATACTATCGATGACGCATCGCATATAATTTTTAATTGTACCAAGTACAACACAAGACGACTAAACTACCCATCGCTAAGGAAATATAATAATATCTATAAATTCTTCGAAAAAGAACAAATTAGCTCGTACCAAACTTTAATCGAGTTCATCGACAAAATTGGAGTAAAACTGTAACAAGTTACATATCTCGACGTGGCGATTTCCACCTTGTAAAGGCGGGCGGCCAAATAATCCCCCTCTACCCAAGGGTAGAGCGGTAACATAAAACCTCAAATAAAAAAATAAAAAAATGTCACCCCTAATATTGTCAGCCTGCTATCGATATTTCTTATCTATCGTATGGTATGGTCGATTGTCGCCCATCTCGTTTTTGTCGATATTATTTGCCACATGGAGTGGCAAGTAGCAAGTAACATTTGTGATACCTGCGATACTATCGATAACGCATCGCATTAAACATTTAATATAACAACACAACAACCCATCGCTAAGGAAATATAATAATATTTATCAGCTCGTACCAAACATTATTCGAGTTAATCGACAAAATTGGAGTAAAACTGTAACAAGTTACTACCCCTCTACCTCAAAAACCTAAAAAAAAGTCTACAATTTGGAAACAAAAAAATAGTAAATTTACGAAAACTCGAACAACATGTCTGTGCGGCACGACTGGTACCAGTCCGAGACCAAGGTGGTCATCACTGTTCTGCTGAAGAACGCCATAGAGAAGAACTACGCTGTCAAGATCGAGTCAAAGAAACTTCACATGACCGCAGATGATTACGAGCTGGAGATCCCACTGCTGCATCCCGTTGTCGTGGAGCGGTGCTCCCACAAGGCGTTCCAGACCAAGGTCGAAATAACTCTGGCCAAGGAGACGGGCGTACGCTGGGAGACCCTCGAGGAGAAGGCGGCTCCCGTGGAAGTGGCATTGCCAAAACTGCAGACCAAAAACTGGGACCAACTGGTCAGTGAGGAGGAAAAGATCGAAGAGAAGGAGGCCCAAGGCGAAGCCGCTCTAAACAATCTATTCAAGCGGATTTACAGCACTTCCTCGCCCGAGGTGCAAAAGGCCATGAACAAATCTTTCTCAGAGTCCGGAGGTACTGTGCTTAGCACCAACTGGAACGAAGTGGGCAAGGAGAAGGTGATTGTGCGGCCTCCCAATGGAACCGAATTCCGCGAATGGGAGAAGTAGGCCTAATCAACGGGCTAGTTAAACACACACACAGACACCAAGACCCACACACACATTAATTTATATGAGAATTTAGAGACGCAACTGTAAACATTTGTCCCCCAACCAAGGACGGCACGCGATGGGCCGGAAAACAAACCATATTAACGATATTAACATAAATTAACAATAGTTATACCCGGTACTCGAACTGAAACCAGTGTATTTCAAAAATTAGCCCCGCCCCCGCAAAAAGGGCGAAAACCTCCCTAACCTATAGTTTTGAAGATAAAAGAAAACTAAAAAAGCCATTCCGTAGGGAATGACCATATCTATTAGACCACCAAATTGGGATCCGATTGGATCATTATTATTGCCACAATGTAGAAATTAATTTGCAGTGGTTAAACCCACCCCCGTACCGCAGCTTATATTTGTTTTTTGCAAATTCTCTCATTCTCACTCTGCTTCGCGCAGACAAGTCTCTGCCTCTGCCCTGATGTAGATGACAGATGAAGAAAATATGTAAAACTTGACAAATAACTGCTAAGGTGCAGCAGTATAAAAGTGCCGGGTATAAAAGTTATGAAGCGTAAGAAGTGTCTCACACGTCCCTTCTCGTTTTAAATAAAATTTATGATGCATTGCACTTGGTTTTCGATTGACGGGCAGATGGGAGGTTTGTGGGAAGAACTTCTGGAAAATTCTCGAAGCAGAACACGAAAACGAGCAAATCTACAACCTACCCTCGCATTTATTGCAGTGCGAACAGCTGATTGTTGCTGGTTCGATACGTGGAAAACTATTTGAGAATTTCGGTACGCACAAAATAGGTTAAGGAAACAGAAACGCACAAAAATGTATCAAAATCTGGAGGAGCACAACCGGTTGGTGAACAAATACCTCAAGATATTCTTCGTGGTCGCCCTATATTGGTAAGCAAGCAGACAAGGAGCGAAGCGGCGCAAAACGTGGACTGTTACTTTGCTTTCCTTTCCCACAGGTGCACCTCCATCTTGACGGTGTTTGTAAACAAACATTTGCTGAGCAGCGATACAGTTAACCTGGGCGCACCGCTGTTTATGTCATGGTTTCAGTGTGTGGTGTCCACGCTGATCTGCTTCGCGATGAGCCGCCTCAGCCGCAAGTATCCGAGCGTTTTCACCTTCCCCGAAGGCAATCCCCTGGACATTGACACCTTCCGCAAGATTCTGCCGCTGTCCGTGCTGTACACACTGATGATTGGAGCCAACAACCTGTCGCTATCGTACGTCACGGTGGCCTTTTACTACATCGGACGCTCCCTGACCACCGTGTTCAGTGTGGTGCTAACGTATGTGATACTGCGGCAACGCACCAGCTTCAAGTGCTTGATGTGCTGCGCCGTCATAGTGATTGGCTTCTGGCTGGGCGTGGATCAGGAGAGCCTCACAGAGGTGTTCTCCTGGCGGGGCACCATATTCGGGGTGCTTAGCTCCCTGGCCCTGGCCATGTTCTCGATACAGACCAAAAAGTCGCTGACGCACGTCAATCAGGAGGTGTGGCTGCTCAGCTACTACAACAATCTGTACTCCACCCTGCTCTTCCTGCCCCTGATCATCATCAACGGCGAACTGGAGACGATCATAACGTATCAGCACTTGTGGGCTCCCTGGTTCTGGGCAGCCATGGCACTCAGCGGAGTTTGTGGCTTTGCTATCGGGTTTGTCACTGCTTTGGAAATACAGGTGAGGGTGCGGGAGGAGGCCAAATCTTTCTTGTAATTGCTTATCTGGCCTGATTCTAGGTTACCTCACCGCTAACTCACAACATCTCGGGCACCGCCAAGGCTTGTGCTCAGACGGTAATTGCCACCCAGTATTATCACGACGTTCGTTCGGCACTCTGGTGGACCTCGAATATTGTTGTGCTTGTTGCCAGTGCAGCCTACACGCGAGTAAAGCAGCTGGAGATGGTCCGGCACCACCAGCAGCGAGCTGCAGCCACGCAGAAGGCCTAACCTGGAAGGCCCCACGATCCCAAAGTAACTTAGACTGGAGAAGACTATATTATAGCAGATGTAAGTTTAAAGAAAAAATATGCACAAACGAAATCATCAACAATGCAAATACATGGCGCATGTATGTTTATAATTAATTGGCAGCTACAGCCTCTTGTGTTTCCACTGGCTCCTCCTGCTTCTTAGCCTCTTCCCGCTTCACCTTTGCTGAGCTCTTGTCCCACATCTCGGGCACATACACAAACGGATCGATCTTGAGCTGCTCACTGCTGGGCGGGCTCTTGAGCAAAACTCGAGTGATGAACCGACCTTCGCGCTTGGGCCGCATTTCGTTGACATCCTGCAGCAGATGTTTAAGGTTCTCCTCCAGTTTTTGTGCATCCATGTCCAGTGGTCCCACACTGGCGGTGATTAGACCAAAGTTCTGCTGGTATTCATCCTTTGCTGCACTGTAGCTAATGCCACTGGAAAACTTGACAATCATCTCGGCCAGATTTGCGCCTAACGTTTCGCTCTTTGGGTTTGGAAATTTACGCTTCATCAGACCACGCAGTGCCACCAGCTCGGGCAGAATGTTGGGATGTGCAATGATGAACTGGTAGTCGGATAGCAGCAGCTCGCCGCCAGTTATGTCTTTGATCAGTTCCACGCCACCGACCAGCGATGCGCCGGCTTCTCTTGCCTCTAAGATTTCGTCCTAAAAATGGATTCTTCAATTAGTAACCATTTCTGGTGCGCAGACCTGTTCCTTACGTTGCCCTTGGTAAAGACTATGATCTTGCGCTCCTCGCCATGCTCAAACTTGTGCGGAATCATGGCCATGCGCTGAAAGTTGTCCACGAACCGAGTCGCCTTCTCGCCCTGCATGTTCAGCTCAATCTCCACATTGAGGGGTGCATTGGGGACATTGTACATGCTCGGATGATGTGTCTCCCGATGGCACTGTATGGCCTCGGCCACGCTGTACACCGGCCACCGGTAATAGCGTCCCACATAAACATCGTCTTTCGATACTTGCTTCCAGGAGTCATCCACATGCTTGTCCGCACGTTTCACGTTGATTCTGGGAAGAGGGTGGATAAATTAATCTCCAACTGGTTTGGTTATGGGTCCAACTTACTTTTTGTCGCGCTGATTGTGCGGAATAAATCCCACCTTCTTGACTTCCACTTTAACCTTCTTCTTGCGAGCCTTCTCCCTGGTGCCTTTTCGAGCCGCCTCGCTGATGGCGGTCAGGTGCAGGCGTCGCACGGCATCCCCTGTGGGCTGGCGCAAGGCCAGGGCACGCATTGACGACAAAATCGACTGCATTTCTTTCAGAATTAAACAATTAAAAACAATTTAACAGACACTTTGCTTTTGCATAACCTCGCCGCCTCCGATAGTTGTTAGTTTATGTGTATCGATAAGTATGGCAAGAAGTGCGATAGTCTTATCGATGTCCGCCGCGATGCCTGCGCACAAAATTCAAAAAAATTGTAACCGTTTAATTGTTGCAAAATGTTCGTTACAAAACGAATAGAACGTAGACTTAATATTGAATCAAATATCTAAGTGAATACGTGAAAGAATGTTGCAAAACAGCATTGCCGTGCCGCATGCTAAGAGAGCATTTTATTGAACTTTACGAAAGAGAACGAATGCTACTACTGTTTTTCTCTCTAAAAATAAATCTCACATTTTCCGATTTTTCCGAAGCGTACAAAAAGCATTCCTCAGAATAGCTTCGACCGACGAGCGGCACGGCACGGATTTCAAAAAGTTTGCTCGTCGTGATAAAGAATCGCGAATAACACCTCAAGACGACAAAAGAAATTTCTGCGGCGGAGGGGGCGGGCGATTGTGTGCATAAGGAAAAGTGCAAGTAATAATTTGTTATTGTTTTTCTTTCAAACAAATACTAGATACAGCAACGTACAAGTGAAGCGCTGCTATATCTTTAGTGTCCGACCCAAGAAGCGGTCGGTCAGCCAGGAAGGAATAAGAAAAATGTGTATTCAGTGTGTGGCAGTGAAAGTAATGGGGAAAGAAGTATATACAAACAGACAGACAGATGCGGACGCAGAGATACAGATGATCTACGCCATCCCATTCCATGCCAGTCGAGTGCGTGCACTTTCGCATTAATTGGACAAGGAAATATGAATTGTGTGTAACCTAAAATTGAACGAAAAGGAAGTGTGGCGGTGCGTACGTACTTCGCAGTGTGTGTGGATGGGTGGTGGTGGTGGGGAGTGGTGCTGTGCTCGGACGCGAACGCGATCGCCATGGGGGAGGCAAACAAAAGAGTGTCAGCATTTTAAAAATAGTTTGCGGCAGCGTTTCTTTTTTGTTGTTTCTTTTCTATTTAACGTGATTTTATTATTTGTTCATCCGCGGAGCAGGCAGCGGGAGCGGGCTTCGGCTGCCAGCCTGTCGATTGATTTTGGTATCCCATACACCAAGCACTTATGTACGTATAGCGAAGCACGGCCAGAGTGGAGTGCATTCGAGATTGGTTTACCGTTTTGCCGTTCCGTTCCATTCCGCTTAAGTGACCACACGCGTGAATATTTTTAGAAAATATTCAAAACTTTTGCACATGTGGAGAAACGTGCTGAATTGGATATTTCTGCGTTTCGAAATTATTGTTTACATTTTCTTGGATTTTATTCGTAACACTTTAAGACATTTTCATCACAGCCACATAAACCACCCAAACGATGATCTCTCCCTCTCTCTCTCTCTCTCTCTACATGCGTGTTTTTGTGTGTTGCGTTGTGTTGTGTTGTTTTTGTGTGTGTGTGTGGGGCGGCAGACGTTCTACATTTTGTCTTCCTCTTTTATAAACAATTCTCGCAATTTTGATAATTCTCTCGGCTTTTTCTCTTGTGTTATGTGTGCGTTTTTAGTGGCGTATCTGGCAGAGTAAACAAACAGATCAGATCCCTTCCGATCCGATCCGATTGATCATTTCCCAAATACGCGCCGCAGAATGAATCTGAACGAATCGGGAGCGCCGGCAGCAACGCAGCAGCCAATGTATCCACAACAACAACCACCGCCAAAGCCACTACGTGCCCGCCATAAAGCAAATTCCCTGCAATATGAATCCTTGCCCACAGCACCGCCGGCCATGTGCGGCCGCACCGAGGAGAATATCTTCCAGTTTCCCGCCGTGGCCTCACGTGCCCGCAATCTCTCCGCCTCGCCCAACTTT